CCCCAAAACCCCAAAACCCCAAAACCCCTTTTATCAAGGAAATTATTGAAAACTGCAATTCGGTTAAACTAGAATGCATTTTGGGCATAGTATCTGTTATCATTTTCCATGGTCAATCCTTCTTCATACAGAATAGAGAACACCTTCTTAATGTACTCCTGGTTATAAAACTTGGAGAACTCTGAGCTGACTTTGTTGAATATCTCAATCTCTTTAATACCTGTGTCACCTGTCTTTTGTATCATTTCGTACAAGTAATTCTTGAACTCTTGCCTCTTATCTACAAAAATAACAGTTTCTTCCTTTGAGAGATCTATGTTTTCTGTCTCTTTTTCACGAAGGATAAACTTTTCATTTTGGAATTCATTAATGCATTTAAGCGCAATTTCTTTATAATTGTACGAACTAAGCTCTAGCTTTTCCCTTTGGAACTCCTCGATAGTGTTTTTAATCAGAGGGTTTGAAATGAAATCAGCAAGAAGCTTTAGGCGGTAGCATGTGTATTGATGCTCACCTATATTGCTCTTGTAAACGTGCGACTTGGGAATCTCACTCAAAATCTGAGGAATTGTTGAGAGAAGAATATTGGTCAACTTCTGAATCATGACTGGCTCACTGTAGATGATGATTTGTTTAGACAGGTAGTCAGAGATGGTTGACGTGTCTTTCAAGGAATCCATGATACTTGGATGACCATATTTGATCGAATCAGCAGTCAAAGGTCCTTCAGTCCTATTTTGGATAATCATATCAACAAGGTCAGAATCTAGCTCAGCTATCTTCATTAAAGATTTAGTTTCTTGTTCTTTCCAACGAGAAATATCAGAATCTGTCATGGTGGTCTTTGGATCTTTAACAATGAAATCTTCGTGATCTTTGTTGATAACCTTGAGCTCTTCAAGAATTACTTCCTTGTTATTGATATCTTTTAAGCACGACAGATTTCTAAAATATGGTTCTTGCTCTGGTCTTGAGAAAGGATCAAACATGCTCTTTTGAACCTGAACTGCACTGTAATTGAACTGATGAAGATCGTTTTGAGAATCATCCATGATTTTGATATTCTTGATACTTATCTGAACTTGCCCATTGTAACTTTCTAGTTGTCCTAGAACATTCACACTTGAGCCAACTTCGATGCTATTTTCTCTGAAGTAATTTGAAAGGTTGTCCTTCTCTTCTGGAGTGAAATAGTTGGTCCAAAGGATGCAATTTGTAATGCCAGTTCCATCATCAAGGCCCATAATCATCCTATTTTCCTTTTTAATTAGGTAAACTATGATCCCAGTTATGTTAGCATTTGAGATGAAGTATTTATCTCTGAAGATGATGATGTATTTGGACCTAAGGATCGTTCTTTTGTTCTGCTCTTCATCATGATCCTCTATGCTACTGCTTTGAATGCACTGCCTTCCATATCTCTGAATCACATTGGGAATACTGATCGTATCCTGCTCGAGCTGTACACTGAAGAATTTGAAATAGATATTGCTGATGCTAAAATCAAGCTTTGAGAGAAGAGTTTTGGTTAAGTCTTCTATAGGTGATACTCCCGCCATTCAATTAATACTTAATTTTCTCAATTTATATTTTAAATTCCGGGGTTTTGGGGTTTTGGGGTTTTGGGGTTTTGGGGTTTTGGGGTTTTGGGGTTTTGGGG